AATTGCCAAAAACATGGAGGTACCGCCTACTCCTTTCAGCAGAGGCTATAGAGATTCGCCTTGAACAATCGGTGCTTTGTGTGCAGGAAAGGCACGTCCAGCCACTTCTACTGCCCTGACCTTCAGTGGAGACTAGAAATTCATGAATTTGTATTTTTGATTGCACACTAGTCAGTAACTAGTGTAATGTGTCTAGTCCTATCTTCGGTGCAGACTGAATTCTATCAGTCATGTTTGCAATGTGGCCACCATGCTAGGTGGCTCGCCATTACGGTGCACTTTGAATTGTTGGTATTAGATGGCAAGGCGTATCTGCAACCTTCTTCAACCTTCTCCAACCTTCCTTCAAGGTTGCAGATACGCCTTGCTGATGAGTGCCAACTAGCACGAAACCTAGGTCCAAGGCTTCTTGCTGATTGCCTCCAACCATCTAATACCAGCAATTCATGAATCTGTATTATTATCTTTGCAAATGTTTCTGATATTCAGTATGTAGTGCTATGTTGATGCTATTGAACTGCAATCTATTGATATTATTATTAATTCGATGTTATTTAAACATCAATGTTTTTAATAACACCAATTAATTTACTGTTATGTATTATTATGTAGAATCTGATGAAGAAGGAGTTATAGAAAAGAATATTCTTTGTTCAATAACCAATATTTCAATTATATTTTATTTTGACAGTGTGGCTCCATATCCTTGGCTTTGTTCCTACCAATATTCTTGACTGGATTATTTCTGACCTCTGTTCAACTAAAGTGTTTAACCCTTGTATAGGTGTGCTGTTGATTCTACACCTCCATCCGATTTGCAAACATTCGTTCATAATTCTACAAGATTCTTTGATTATTGCTATACATAACAACAAACTTGCATTCCTTTCCACTGTACTGTTATTCAATCACATGGTATTAATGTCCTTCACCTTTATGATCAATAACTAAAAAATGTGAATATTTTGTGCAATTTTCGAAAAAAACTGTTTATGATTTTATACTATTGAAGACAAACAACGCGATATAATGACGTCATATGTTATCCCTCTCAGTTTGTTCAAACATATCTTAATCGTCATAGAATCGCTTTGATTGGCGAATTCGCCACAATTATTGAAGAAATTATCCACAACAGAAAACTCAGCGAGACGTTCGAAGTGGATACAAGGCTACCTGCCTATTACCATCAATGACATTCTTAATGATGGTGGACTGGATTATGCGTCAGACTATGCGTTGGAAGCGAGAAGTCAGGAATACTCTGGACCATTGATAAGAAAACTCTAGGAGATGTAGATTTCGAGGCAGATGATTTGTGTTTAATGTCACATTAAACTCGAAGACTTGCAAACGAAAACCAACAAACTGGTTGAAGAGGTAGGCAGCGAAGACAGGACTGCAGGTGAACATAGGGAAGATGGAAGTGATGAAGATAAACAACCAATCAACAGTGAAAACAGCCGGCACCAATCACCAACAATGAGGAGGGATTTAGCAGAGGTTACTTCCTTCACTTATCTAACCACGAAGCACTGTTTCACTTACAGGCGGAACGGATGAGGATATCAAAGACAGAATCGGAGAAGCAAGTTACACTTTCATCAACCAGAGACCACTTTGGAAATCTTCTGCACTCCGTAGGATAAAGAACAAGATTCGGATTTTCAGCAGAAATGAGAAGTCAGTAAGTTCTTCTATAACAGTCTGAAACTTTCACTGTGTGTCACGAAAAGGATCTCCAACAAGTTACGAACTTTTATCAACAGCTGCCAACTTCGCTCGCTCCATAATGCAGATCAAATGACCAGCTGGTCAGAAAGAATTAACAACAAGAAACTCTAGAGATGAACAAAACAAACAAGAGGAGATCGGAGAACAGACATGCAATGCAGGTCATTAATTGAATGTAGTCCCGATGGGAAGAGACGAATAGGTAATCAGTTCGAGAATGACATGAAGGAGATTGTGTGAGTTGGAGGAGATGAGAGATTATGGTCGATCGTGGACTCAGCTGAAGACGACAGCAGAAAAAGAAGTGGGGATACGTTATTGAGGCCGTGTTCCGAGACATGAAAAGACTAGCTATCTTTGATCATAGGTGCCTGCGTTCTATCTCCCATGTGAAGTGGTATAATAAGGTGAGCAATATTGAGGTTGGGCGTTGAGTGAGGGGAAATCAATCGACGAGGTTTTGAATCTACATCGACTGAGATGGCTAGGACATATGTTACGTATGCATCCCTAGCCATCGCCTTCCTCGACAATGGGCAATGTCAGTTGACATAGGGTCAGGCTGGAAAAGAGCTGGCGGCGGTCAAACTGAAACATGGCACCAGTCAGTGAAATCCATGACGGTTAGTTTAAGCCACGTCGGGATGTGTAGGCTGCTGCCTGGCTGAGATCCCCCGGACGGTAAACATCAATGGCTGAAGACAATCAGTGATATGGCTCAAAATAATTCTCAATGGCTAGCGCAGATGCATCCGCTCCTTGTGACTTATAATACCCAGTGAATCTATATTGTTCTTCGTTATTGCTATTCCTTTTGTCTCATATCCCTGTCTACTGTCTCTTATGCATTTCTTCTACTTTCTTCTCTTGCTCTGTGTGCTACATATAGTGTGGCGACATTAACTGCTGCACATCGGTGCAAAGTTCTATGTGGAAAACAGACAGACAGTGCTCCACTCGGAACCAAAGGGATTAATAATAACGCAGGTAATTGACAAAATTTAGCCATTCTCATATTAATACAGGTTGCCGAACAATTGGAATCTTCGAAAAGAATTTTCAACTACACAATCCGAGGAATGAAATTTCACCCCAGTTTCCTTTGCAAACGGAAATTATTCAGATTAGAATGCATGATCTGCTTAATAGCATATATAACATATAGGAAAGCAAGTATAATCTCGCAGTACCATATACTACTGATGGACTGATGGATTATAAGTAGTTGGATACCATTCACCTTACATCACATCTATCCCAGTCCACCCATGTAGCTAGCCGGAATTCGAGTGATTAGAACTAATTCAGCTCTCCACCAGCAGATTAAAACTGGATACACTGCTGGGGAGCTTTACCCTTCTATCTATCCAAAGAAAGCGCTACTGGTCGATGTGAGTGGTCCTCAACTACTCATGTCAATCCATCAGTAGTATAAAGGACCACGTCTTAATTCCACTTGATTATTTTTAGGTGTTATATTCGAGAAGTGGACGTCATTTACAGAAAACATTTAGTCTACTTCAAATTTTAATATTAATATCTTTTTTGAGAGTATTACACACTGCTGTTTTCTCCTCACTGTTTTGTTAAATTTTCTGAGTATCATGATCGTATATTTTGATCATTACCTCAAGTAGAGGTAGGACTCGATGCCTCGCAGTGTAGCAGCTATCCTAAACAAAAGATTTAATATGTTCACGCTCATACCACAATTAGATGCCGTGCTGACCCCTGCGCCCCGAAATCCAGGACACAGATTACGATCTCCGCTCTACTATGACACTACGCCTAATGAGCCTAGCGGAATGCATGGTCCAGTCTAGACACCGAAAGAAACACTTAAGCTCAACCAGCCATATGTCAAATATGAAATGTACTTTTGCATAAATTGATGGGATTTCGACTTTTGCTTTCCTTCACGTTCCCCAGTGGAATATAGGGCTTCAAGCTAGTGGCTTGAAGTTTCTGTAGCAGTGTTTATTTTACAGGATGGGGTTGCTAGCCTCATACCTAACCTTTCCTCTTCACCAACATTTTTCTGGCTTAGCGAGGTAAAGGAGGAGTGCGTCGGCCGGGGATCGAGCCCTGGACCATGTGCATGGTCGGCGAGCGTCCTAACCGCTATGCCACCGACGCACATGGATTTCGACTTAGAGGCTTTCAATCTAAATCCGTCAGGTGGTAGCTTAGAACCGGTGGACGTTTCACCTGACACATACACTAACTGTGTGACCCTGAGGTTTTTCTCGTACTACATGGGTTACCGTAGCAACAGCCAGATTGCACTTCACTTCTTATGAAGGTAAAACAAACCAGTCTCATGATGTTCTAAACGAAGCACTCGTTTCCTATTAATGGGTGAGTAATCCAACTCTTGATGATTAGCAAAGCCGATATAGAAGGACTAAAAAAGGATGTCACTGTGAGTGTTAGGCTGGCGCCAGCCAATTATCTCTGTGGTAACTTTCCTGATATCTCTTGCTTAAAACTCTGAAAATGGTATTCAAAAGGATCAATATGCTTTGTTTTTCTGTATTCGTATTGAAAATCATAATCAGGTAAGCTTTCTCCTCCGTACTCTGAGCCAGGTTTCTGTTCTGCCTGAGTCCACTATCGGACACCCGCGTTAACACTTTATCGATGTACCGTCCCAATCAAACTCTCTGCCTGGTATGGTCACACAACACATCATGATTCAAATACCATAATCGACACTACACTTTATCTGACATGAACACGACACCGACATAAGCAGCGTTAGACTATGTATGCCAGCATACGCCTTAGGGTAAAATAACTTTTTATTCCTGTTTCACTGATAAAGGAAAGCAGAAATGACAGCACTGGCATTTCATTGACACTAGCCACTGAAATATCCAGTTCCTATCTATTCCATATCCATCAGGTTTCCTCACAAAAGCGGATCAGAGTTTTCTTTCCCTGTCCCTTTGGCAGTAGTTCTGCTAGGTAGGAGACAAGGATAATGGGAATCCTGTTAATCCATCCACGCGGATCACTAATTAAATGACGAAAAAAGTGATGTACTTCTTCAATTAGCAGTATATAGCAATATGCAAGTGACATTTTCGTTAAGGGTGAAATTTCAAAGAATAAAAACTGGATCCACACACCATGTTTATCTGCCTTCAGGTGTCAAAATGGTGAAAAATATAATTATTCACTACATTAAAAATGACACACTATTTACCACCATTATCCAATGAGAATCAAGCAATTTAAGACTATTTAAATGCAATCTAACTTACTTTCACTAGAAGTTCATATCGTGGAATCCGTTGAACAGGTTGTACAAGAAGGGCTTTCAGTGGAAGTTTGTTACGATTCATTCGTAATTTCATCTGATGAAAAGAAATCAAAAGAACAATAGGATAGAATTCAAATCCTGGAAAATACCTCCCCCCACCCCACAAGATATTAAAGCGTGATATATATTAAAGGTGATATACATGGGTCAAAGTAGTAGAGCAGGGGAAGTCAGACGAGCCGAGCACAAAAACTTAGCAAAATCTAGATTAGTTGACCCGAATAAGATAAGATACCTAGAGAACATTTCAACCATAACAACACTAAATGCAGTTACACGCAAAAAACCATACAATAGGATGTGATAAGATAACAGTTTCAAAATCTAGTGTAGCAGCAGGATGGAGGGAGAGATTGATAACAGAAGCTTTGTTTATCGAGTCAACAGCAAACACGTGTCATAGGATTGATTCAACACCTGAACACCTAGACATCTGGAAAATTCTACTACTCCAATGATGACAAATGGGAGAGAACAAAGAAAACTATGAAACTCAAGTTTCGAAGTTGTGTGATTACAATTGATATAATTATGAGCCATAATTAATTTTTTTCGAAACTTTGTCATCCAGTAAATAACATAACTGTTTTACTGTGTGATACATCTAATAAACTGATCAATATGGAATTTCATGCCATCACGGTGCCTAATTTTTACATATACATTCTATGCCCGTCTTTTCGAAACGTTCACACTTGTATTCCTCCTTTTCTAATCCTGTATAATTCTGTTTCTATGCCCCCCTAGTGATCGATATTCATACTTGCCAACTTTCAGACCAAGTTGAAATCCCTATCTGCATTAATCTACCTTCGATACTATTTTGAGTAAAATAGTAATAATAATAATAATAATAGAAACTATGTGAAGTAATATAAAAATCCTGTTGTAATGGTTTTTTTAGGATGAAATCATCCGAAGGTTGGGGAATAAAACAAACCGACAATCCCTTTTTCTTAGATCTCTTAAAGGTTCAACTTGTAAACATTGTTTCCTTGATCACACACCTTCACTCCCACTTGTATAAATCTGCACATTTACCTTGTTGTTGTTTTTTCCCTCGAAATTATTCATTCAGTTTATTTCTGTCTTGATTTACTACTAACGTTTTGACATCTGACATATATAGTTCCCAATTTTTCCACCTTGTGTATTACATGCACAAGCATGTACACACGCACACAGATTCCTTGCTAGTGTATCTTTGCACGATTACCGTGTACGAGATATGTAGATATATACAGATGCACACACTTTAGTAAATGTCAAGTATCGGCTGGTATTTCTAAAAGGGCAGGTTCATAATTAACACTTCATTATAACTGTGAATATATATTAGAATTCATTTGTATTTATTTATGTTTGTGGGCGTGTAAACGATTCTGTAAATTCCTTTCAATTCACACTACATGGAAATATACTTTATATATATATATATGCGGTATGACTGTTAGATGTGAGATTAATGGTAAGATAGAAAGTATTCTCGGACAAAACATTACTTGTGCCAGAAAAGAAAGCTAACATGAAGCTTGATTTTATGGGAGACTTAACTTTGAAAGAAGAGTTTTATTTGAGGCAGCAATCTTAAAAGCAGTGTCCTGCAGCCTTCCAGTGATCTGCAGAAGCCTGAAAGAAAAGAACTTGTATCTGATCACTTCTGTGTGCATATATATCAGTTCATTTGTTTCTGTGGAGGGAAGTAAATGGGCTGTTCGACGGGTATCCTGTCTGGAAGGATTTAGGAACACTACTCCACGTCGTTGCGTTGGTGGCTTTCCTTTGGAAACTACGGACTGAGTGAGATGAATGGTGGTAGGAATGTATTTCACTCAAATCGACCAGGGTGGTCTCAAGCTACATCTGGATGGAATTTTTTTATTCCATTTGATATTGGGCTCCAAGTTTTGACTTTGAAATTTCTATAGAGGTGGTGTTTTATTTCACAGGGTGAGGGATTGCTAGCCTTGCTCTCAACCCTCCCACTTTGCTCGGCTTACTACCTGATAAGCGAAGTTTATGAGTATCTTGGCCTGGAATCGAGCCAAAACAACGTGCATGGTTGGAGACATTCATCACCTAATTCGATTTTAGGTTACTTAATTTACTGTCTTCCCCAACATATGTAATTTCATGTTACCTTGTAACCACCAGTGACTTTTATTTGCATTTCCATGTTCTCTTAGTACACTGCATAATTAACTTTACAGTTCTGAAGTGAATTGAAGAAAAAAACATTCTTTTTGCTGACACTCACGTCTTTTTAAATATACGTTGGGATATATAATTCTACTTTCTCAGATTTCCTATTTAACATCTAGCTATTTGCGATATCACTCTGCAAGGGTGAAGGAGTTATCATTTTGCTCCGAGAATTGGTGACAGCGTACATCAAACAAAGCAAAAATCTAAATTATGATGTATATACTACTTAGTGAGGTCTCCATAAAATGTATTACTCTTTATTGGGAAACATAAGTACATGCAAGAATCTTTTGTTACTTCAGCACTATATAATTAACGTTTTCTGACATTTTCCCCATTTAAATCATCCTCTTATCAATATTAGTCAATCCAATAAAATACTTCGTCAGTAATGTTTCATTCTACTTAAGAATCGGTTGTAAATTTATGTTAGACGCAAACAAGGATATTTTGAAAACCGGCCTTTCTTCATGCGTTTTACTATTGTTTTAAGCTTGACAAAATAAGATAAATTGTATCATTCAGCGAAGAAAATTTTCTTTATCGACGAAATCATCTTCAGAGGCTGTACAATCGTATTTATACTTACAAAAATATATAGTGGTCTATTATTGAGTAATAGGGGGTAACATAATTGATATAATTACTCAGAAGTGGCTTTAGAAGTGAAAATTAGAAGTTGAAAATTACGTGGTACTCAGTGGCAAAAAGATAGAATTGCTATTAAGTGAGAATAAAGGTATTTGAGTGTCAATTTAACAAGTGTGAAGAGGGTGTGAAAGTATACAAAAGGAGCATATGAGAGTGATAATAGCGAATTAATTATTGGAGCAAAAGCTAACTAAAAGTGAAAGTAGAATGAAAAGAAAAAATCAAAAAATATTTCATTTACAAGGAACGATTATTGAAGAGGTTAAGACCAAGGTAGAATAAGAGACTGGACAAACTTTTTCTGTACACAGAGTTCAGGGTTGTATTGATGAATTGCTAGAGCCTCAGCCATACACAAAAGCCGAAACCTGACGCCCTTTGTACCATTTGGCTTCACTTTGTAGATGATCTTGAAAGAGGATTCTGGTGGAGCTACGTGGCCTGAGTTCACCAAATGCTCGAGAATTGAGCTAGTAATTGTCTTACATTGTCCCTTTGCTAACCATGCCGGATAATGCTCAGAGATGCGTTTGGAAAGCGTGCGCTACAAAGTGAAGCCAAATGGTACAAAGGGCGTCAGGTTTCGGCTTTTGTGTATGGCAGAGGCTCTAGCAATTCATCAATACAACCCTGAACTCTGTGTACAGAAAAAGTTTGTCCAGTCTCTTATTCTACCTTGGTCTTAACCTCTTCAATAATCGTTCCTTGTAAATGAAATATTTTTTGATTTTTTCTTTTCATTCTACTTTCACTTTTAGTTAGCTTTTGCTCCAATAATTAATTCGCTATTATCACTCTCATATGCTCCTTTTGTATACTTTCACACCCTCTTCACACTTGTTAAATTGACACTCAAATACATTTATTCTCACTTAATAGCAATTCTATCTTTTTGCCACTGAGTACCACGTAATTTCCAACTTCTAATTTTCACTTCTAAAGCCACTTCTGAGTAATTATATCAATTATGTTACCCCCTATTACTCAATAATAGACCACTATATATTTTTGTAAGTATAAATACGATTGTACAGCCTCTGAAGATGATTTCGTCGATAAAGAAAATTTTCTTCGCTGAATCCGTCTTTTATTTTCTTCATGACTCAATGGGTATTTTCGGTGAAATTGTATGATCTTTATCTGGTACCATAGAAAATATATTCGTTTGCACACTGTACGGAGTTATCTGTTTTAAAGGTATCAGTGAAGTATACACTGTGTTTTCCAGTAGCTAAGGTTGGGTTACACAAGTTTTGCAAGCTTCTACACCAGTTTAATAATATATATACATATATATATATATATATCACAAAAAAATTACTCATATAAATATTGTGCTGTCTTACTTCACAAAACTTTTGAAATGATGATTTTGTATTCCAACAAGCTTCTAAAGTCTTTTCAGAATTGGCGAAATTATCTACAAATGAACAGTAGCACATAGCCACAGCTTCTCGAGAGAACTGAATAGAAATAAGAAAGAAGGTAATAATAAGAAGCACTTTTTAGTGTCATAAACAAGAAATGATGTTCAAATGAAGAAAAAAAATTAGTTAATAATTCAAAACCGGCAACTGGAATACCAACACGATATACTACAACGTCTTAACAGCTATCTCAGTATCTACATTCCAGACTTAGCTGGCGAAAATTATGTCATCACAAAATTTGCTGAACCAAATACCAAGGTGATACATACCACTGTTTGATACATGTAGTTTGAAGTTGTACTTACACGTCTTGACCTGTGACAAACGAAATAGCTGTTTGACATCTATACCACTTCTATCCAACCAGTTCATTCATCTGACGACGTGTTTGAAGTTGAGCAATATTCAGATTTCCTATCTTATATTAGTTCTTTTCAACTGCGTCGCTTATAGAATGAAATCTTCCAATTCACTGTTTCGACCAATAAATTCAAGTGAAACCCTAATTTGAAGCGGTGAGTTATGTGTGGTTCTGAGGGTAACATGGATACGATTATGTGAAGAGGGAATGGAAGGTGACAGGCAATTGTGGATTCAGCTTAAAAAAGACTACAGAGAAAAGAGGGAAATGGCGATTTACCCTATGTTCCATTCAGAATCCATATGTTGGATAATAATGTGATAATCACTTGTTGGTGTTGTCGTTACTATGTTGTTTACATCAATAAAGCTAGATACTTGAATAAAAATATTAGATTAGTAGTCATTGAACACTTGTACTTATAAAAATGAAACAGGCGGTAGATAGAGATGGAAATATGGCATACTTTCAAATAGTTTGAGATCACTTTTAAGACGGATTTAATACATAGTATGAAGCTGTCACTGGGTGAGTCTAAATGGTTTAAATAAATGCCTGGTGACCTCATACGACCAATAGTAGATTTCAGGAATACCCCCTACTTATGACTTATCAAAACGCTTAGCTCTGATACTATGTCACATTAGAAACTATTCAAACTCTAAGCTAACTAATTCGTATGAAATGAAAAGGAAACTATATAACATTCAATTAGAGAATAATAAAAAAAATGATCAGTTTTGATATAACTGGTGTTTACGCTAATATAACAATCAATCTGGTCATAGAAGCAGTTAAAAGAGAACTAACTTAGTCATGGGACAAAGCTTCCCAATGAGGAATTCAGTTATACCTCACGTCTACTAACTTTAAATTCCAGGCCAAAATATATAGACAAACAGAAGGTGTAACAATGGGATCACCAACTTCCCCTATCGTAGTAGATATCTTTATGGACAGCTGGTAAAGTATTGCTCTAAATATATTTAATCCCACTCCAAAAATATGATGGAGATATGTGGATGAATGACACTTTCATAGTGTTGAAAACAGGACATATCTCTAGCTTCTTGACACACATAAACTCACTAGTAAAGGGAATCAAATTCACATTTGAGTCGGAAAATGGACAAGGAGCATTAGATATGTTAGATTGTAAAATAAAACGAAAAGGAGAAGGCAAACTACACACTAGTGTTCATAGAAAACCAACGCATTCTAATAGATATTTAGACTTTAATTCAACTCATCTGTTAACTGCTAAGGCAGGCTTAGTTAAGTGTTTAACAAACCGAGCAATGGCACTAAGTAGCACAAAAAAAGACCTAAATGATGAAATAAAACAGATAGAAGAGGCGTTGGTGTTGAATAACTATCCTATAAAATTCATTATGAATATCAGAAAAGGTCAAAATAAAAATAATGGTGAAACTAATAATGATAACATAAATAAGAGAGAATATAAGGCATCTACAGTTCTACCATATAAGGAGGCAGGGGACATCTGAGGCCCTGCGTAGGATTCTTAATAAAGCAGGAATTATATTGGCATTCAAACCTACAAGCTCACTCTAATTAAATTTTCTAATGAAGTTCACTTTTCAGTGAAGTTAAGAGGTTCACGTCATCAATCTCAATTACTAATGTCTCAATAGGAAGGAAAGGATTCGAAGATTGATTACGAAATGAGTTGAGTTAGAAAACCACAAGAAACTAATGACTTCTGCGTAGATATTTCATGCTTGTTAAGCACCTCCATCATGAGTTGAAACCAGGATGTTCAGGTTACTAGGCGACTTTGTTGACCATTCAGCCAATGGAACGAAATCATGAATTCTAGCCTCTGCCAGTTTGAGATATTAAACTATCACTACCAGTCATCAGGGAGTATTTTTCCACACATACACATACACACACACCCACAACTTGGTGAACCTCACTGGTCCCGGCTTATGACTAGAACGTCAGTCAACTGTATCCTGTAGTCAGTCACTCCAGTAAGCGTTACAATAACCTTCAAGGGGACGTCAGCTCTTGATGTAATCTAAAGTAAATCAAATCTATGCAAACCACTTCTTGAGGATCCGTTGTTTATCATCCAAGATAACAGAATGCCAAGCATATTCATGCAATACTTTCAGAGGATAGATAAAATATAAGCTATTTCACTTTTATTCTTTTTTACGCTTATGAAGCTGAACACAATTCACAAGTGAATCCAATGCTGAATACTACATGTGTACATGAACAGGTGCTAAAGTATCAGAAGAACAAAAAATAAAAGGCCATAACACAGGGGGGAGAAACAATGTTTCTTTCCTTTTTTTTTTACATAGAATGCAAATTTGTGTATTTCATTTTGGCAGGTATTCTCTAATGTGAAAATAATGTTTTGTGTATCTGTCGTTTTTTTTGCTGTTAATGTGAAAATATGTTACAATCATCATTTTGCATCATATTGCATAGGCATTGAAATCACATGACAACTTTGGTAGTGTATGTATGAATGTATGTATGTAGGTAGGTAGGTAGGCAGGTAATTAATATTCCCAAATGTATACTGAGTGAAAGTAGGAATGACTATGTTGCTAAGAGAAAGAAACTCTGTTTTCGCCAAATATACTTCAACAGATAAGGATTAGAAGACCTTTTACAATATAAGATGAACTTATATATTACACAGAGAGGAATGTTCTGGAATTGCAAAAGGCAATCCAAGCGTAACTGGAGGTGTCGGTGTATTCAAGTGTCGATTATTCAACCGAAACGAGAAAGGTCAAGGATAACTCCATTTTGGATAAGATTTTATTTTGATAAATCACACAGTGTTGTTATACAGTAATATTAACTGATGACCAACTTCCGAGCACAAACTATTACTGCTCATAATCATATCAAGGTACTCTCACACAACTTTTTACTTCATTTATATACATGAGTGGAATTGGTGATTAGACATTTGAATAAAAATCACTAATATAAGATAATGTACATTCAGAAATAATAATATGAGTGTTATTGATCAAATACAATATGAGTGTTATTGATCAAATACAATCAGATAGGAAATAAGACGAGTGTTTGTTTATAGTCAAAATAGGTAACGTGTTAGAATGTTATAATGTATGTGAATTGAAACAGAATTTTGAGATTATTTATTACCCTCCTCTGATTTGACTGCCTGGTGGTAATAATATCTTCCATATCTCTGGTATTTGCATTGAGTCATTTCTGTTGCATGTGGTGTGTTGGGTGTAGACTCGATGAAACAGACAGGATTCAATAATCAATCTCTATCTCCACCTACCTATATTACTCCTTAGAATTTTGACTCTGTCTCATCCACCCTTGTATGTGGTTGTGTGCTAATGCATGCAGTACAATCGCTGAGCTTTTTTCTAAATTACTTATCTTAGTAGGTGGGATCAACCATTCTTACCTTAGCTAAATTCTTATGTTCCGACAATCTGACTACGCCCCACCTACTAGTTTGACCTATATAGTTCACCTCACTCACAAGGTATTTTGAAAATTATATTATTTTGTTTAATTGGGTCCACCGGGTCCTATAGCCTACAGAGGTTGTCTCTGAGTGAGTTGGTAGGTTTGAATTCCATTCTATTTCCTGCTTTATTGAGAATCCTACTTAGAGCTTCAGATGTCCCCTCCTTATATGGTAAAGCAAGTTACGTATTTTTAATGTAAAAAACATCTTATTTCCTATCTGATTGTATTTGATCAATAACACTCATATTATTATTTCTGAATGTACATTATCTTATATTAGTGATTTTTATTCAAATGTCTAATCACCAATTCCACTCATGTATATAAATGAAGTAAAAAGTTGTGTGAGAGTACCTTGATATGATTATGATCAGTAATAGTTTGTGCTCGGAAGTTGGTCATCAGTTAATATTACTGTATAACACCACTGTGTGATTTATCAAAATAAAATCTTATCCATAATGGAGTTATACTCTACCGCCGCAGTGCTCCAATTTTATACTTTTATCAGTAAAGGTCAAAGATAATAGAGGTATTGAGAAATTGAGTTGGAGGATTTCATCATGAGCTGAAGAGTCCCAAACTAGGACGAAACAGCTGTCCAGTACTCCCAGGTTTTCCAGTGGTTCTCTAACTGATGTCAGCTCATGATGAAATCCTCCATAAATATAATTATTGAGTTACTTCATAACATTGAAATGAAATTTCAAAACGTTAAGGTAAGAGAATCAGGGCTCAAACAGAATTCAAGTTACAGTCCTCGGATTGTCATAGATTCACTTATTCGAAGTAAGTGTGAAGTGGTTTATCTTTTCACAACCTTAAAAGAACGTCAGTGAATTCTGTTAGTTTTTCGTAGAATCTATACCCCATCTCCATATCTGGCATGTTATTCTACTCTCTTATAAAATGAACTGGTTACTCGTTCAGAGTATGCGTTAATTATTTCACATTCCCTGCTTATGTAATTTATTATTTAGGTCGTATGTAACTGACGAAAAATGGATGAAATAAGGTGAACTCATCTTATCTTGAAAAAGTTTATATTTTTACATTATTCAGATTTTTCAAGGGAATAACTGTATGAAGACAAAGGGTAATTGGGCAGAGGAGAGCAGAAATAATTGTAAGTACTTTTGTGCAGTCATATCACACAAGTGCTTTGACATTTGAAAATATGGTTTCTGGGTTCGAGTCTCAGTGGTTATAACATCAGTCATTAGGTAGTGAAGATACATCTGGCTAATGAGTCCCAAACAGGCTGAAATACGTATCCTGGATTCCAGTGGTAATCACATTCCACTAAATAAGACGATATATTTTCGTTAGAAATGACGTCAGTTCACTAATCTGATGACCACTAGCATCGGTTTCTATATGGGAATTTGCCTGGAGTTCTAGTGGAAGGTCGTCACCAGCAGGGTCCACCAAGTGAGGTAAAACGACAGTTACTCACAGATAACTTTGGCAGGAGTCTGAATGAATGGGCCATTGAACCGTCCCAGTGGTTGAATGGTCTACGAGCCTGCTTTATAACTAGATGGTCCTAAGTCGGGACCCCGGTGTGCGTACTGCTGGTAAGTCCCGAACTAGGACGAATCGGTCGTCCAATAGTCCTTGATTTTTCAATGGTTCTCTAAATGATGTCAGCTGGTCATCATACTTCCAGCCAATCAAATCCCTGGGAAGCAACACTTGAAGAAAACTGTTTAACAAAGTAAGCACAAAGAATGCCTGAGAGTCATTTCCTAGAAGCTAGATACCAAGACCCGTCTGAGCTTTACAAACATGTTGATACATACAAAAATCATAATTCCATAAAAAGTGATTCAAGTGCCTATAATTCCATTACTTTTATCCTATATGCAACATGCTGCTTTTCTCAATTTTTAAATAAATTTTCATTTCAGCAGTTGAAACGTTAAATCCTTAAGGAAGAGAAATAACGCCTTTCAACTGCAAAATTTTATCAACTGCCTAACCACTGCTAACTGAAAATGTCATTTTGAAATATCTGTTCAAATTTCACCAGGACCGCCATTAATTTAAGAGGATTCCGGTACATCCAGATGATAGGACACAACCGGGATGAGTCATTAGTTCTGGATTCAGCTGCTGGCCATCATCAACTTAACAGCTTACTAACGGACAAAGCTTCCGTTAAAACCAATCAGTGCGAAATACTTTACAAGTGTTGGTTAGTACAAAACAAATGTCCCTACCATATATAAAGGACATCTCACAAATCACCACAAGACTCTTCAAACCTTTAGAAATTGACGTCACACAAAAACCAGCAAAATCACTTCCCTCAGTTCTACCTCAAGCAAATGACTCAACAACGGAAGAATATAAAGCCAACTGTAAAAGACACTACATTGGCCAAGGTTGACACCCCCTTCGTCTTCGTATCCATGATCATACAGACAACCACGGACATCAATTCGATTGCGACAACCAACGTTCAAATATTAGACATAGGAAACACAAAGAATCCTATAGAATTTTCAGAAGCCTGGTATTCCACTGAATCGTCAATCAATAGACACATTGACATAGATAAAATTTACCAATCGATAACGAGGAAATCTTAGACAAAAAGGTTCAAAGTTCAAGTCAAAGAAAAAATCACTTCCAATACAAGTAGCCTGGAGGGTGGGAAAACACACAAAACCAACCAATCACGTTCAAGGTCACCCACCAGGAGAGATGATTAATAAACTCGTAAAGAAATCTAAAACCTGACTGCAATAAATTGAAGTATGCGCTGAGGATGTTGCTTAGTAGGGCGATGAAAGCTTCGCAAATAAACCAGCCAGCCAGCTCAGAGAACACAACCACATCAAAATCTTTCACCTGAGCTACAAATCTTCTCCATCATATCTATGTCATTTATTCCAAGAGACTAAATCAGTAAGTGATTTATGTGAGACTTAAGAGTACGAGATAGTTATTTCGTCGGAGCTCGAAACTTTTCACCAGTACGCACTCATGAACTTACCAGCAACCATCAATACCTGATTACGAGATGGATTTTATAAAGCCGTAGTGAGAATTCATAGCCCGCAAGGTTGATTATATCAATTGTGAAGTGAATGCCAACCAAAGTAATTGGATAACAGTAGCTCCATATTGTGAATCGGTCATTCGATTTCAGTTAGAGGTCCTGGGTTCAATTTCTGAGTGTGCATTACTGAAGTATCCCAAATCAGGGCGAAATAACTGTCTTGTTACCCCTTGTTTTTTCAACAGTTTGCTAACTGATACTTTTCCACAATAGAATCTAGTCATTTCAATGTTTACTGTTTAGGCCTTCTTTCTATACATCAACTTGTAAGCAATTTCAAGAAATGATTTTATTTTCGGAAGAACGGGATAATATTGTAAATCAAGCATATGTTCATTAAATCTAAAGTTATTCTAATTTCAAAATGATTTAATCTTCTTTACTTTTTAATGTCATCGTTTTCAACTTAAAGGACAAATAGCAAATGCTACATGAACACACGAAGAGAGAGATAAATCAAAATGGGCATATATATCAAAACAATAATCTATAAAAAGTATTCATTACATATATATTACCATATCAAGTAATTTATCACCGACTGTATTTGTCAACTCCCACATTTGAAGGGTATTCAAAAAACTCATATGATACATGAGTAATTCTTGAACTTTAAAAAATATCGTATCCACTTGTTGATCATCTAATATTTTCTCTTGTTTTAATGGGATCATATAAACCTGTATGATAAAGAAAAACAATAATAATAATAATTCAGCAGTGTTAGATTTACAGGTAAATACATAAAACTGAGGAAAACTAAGGATTAATGGAAAATGGTTTCGTACTCGTGTGAGACTCTTCAATAGTAGGCTCTCATGTTTCATCGGTTATTGAATCTTGAACTCTAAAGCTAAGCTATGGTAATGAGAGGTATTGCCAAGGAGTCCTAGGAGAAGTCAAGCCACTAACAAACAATTCTTGGTTTTCAGCGCTTCTCTAACTCATAGCAATCAATTTAATCCCGACAAACGGACACTCGATAACAAATTTAGTGTATGATAATGTTGCTCTTAAGGAATACATAAATTAGCAAAGAGATCTCTTTCCGTTCGTATCTTCACTTCAGAGTTGTTATTTAAGAGGTTTATGGAAAAAAAGCAGATCAACAACAAAGGTCAGAGGTTAGTGACACAATAAATTATAGCGTATGAGTAGTGGCAGTGCTTGAGAAATAGTGAGTAATCTTACATAATCGAGAGGATTGTCAACTAATTCGTTTGGGAATAATCGATAGAAAGAAAACAAGAGAACAAAGGTCTGAAAGCGTCTTGCAAAGAAGATTTAAAAATTAAAAAAAGATCGCATAGAGTTTATTATAGAAGAATTTAGAGGCTGGATAAAACGTTCCTGAACACAAAGTTTAGCCTTTTCCTTTGTGGATTATAAAAACTTGCGCCCATAACGTATGCAAGCTTATTCTTATTGTATCCACATTCTGAATGGATTATGATTAATGTGTGACTGAAGTAGGTTAACTGAATGGTTGTCTTGGTTGCACAGCGGTTAGGACGCTATCTGACTGGCCACAGACGCACTCCTTTACCTCGCTAAGCCAGAAATAAAGCTGGTAAAGAGGAAAGGTTGGGCATGAGGCTAGCAACTCTATCCTGTAAAAATAATCACCACTGCTACAGAAACTTCAAGCCTCTAGCTTGAAGGTGCCCTATGTTCCACTGGGAACGTGAAGGAATAAAATAAATAATGTCATGAAGTGTTACTTGACTAAAGTGCAGTAAGTGGTAATATGCTGAAAAGACCACACCTCAGTAATGTCTAACCAGCATACCTGACTAGTTCAAATGACTTACAGACAGTTAAAGGTGGTACGATTTAATCTGAACACATTTGAATCAAAACTTACAAAGTTACTATATTCCCTATAAACCAGAAACTGTTACAGTGGTCCACACTAATACAAAATAAAATTACTTTCCAAAAACTGTGGATGAACACTGATTGTTCTCCTCATACGAATTAAAATCAAAGTGGATTGGAGTACAGATTGTCCTTCATGAATGCTGATTGACAGTTTGTCAGAAACCTAATACTTTTCATACACTTATTTATGAGTTGATGGTGAATTTTGCTTACTGCTTTTGAGATGAATACATTAGCCATTCTATGTGTCCATTTAATTGACATAGGGAGAATGGAAACGTGAATATCTTGTGGTGTTAGAACACTTAACTCCATCCGAGAAATTCTCTAAAGTGTTGAACAAGAACTCCGATCAAATCTCTCTGAGAGAATGAGATGAAGGTATCTCAGTATAACTGAATGATAAGTGATTCAAAAATTCAACCTGGCAAAAATAAATAAGTTCAATACTTTGTCTTTGTCATAGCTACCATATTCAGTCTAGTGATCCAAAATCCCTGTTTACTTTCTTATGCCTGTGTTATTTGTAATGTGTAACCACACCTTATTATTTACCATATTTTGACCTTTGACTTGAGACGGTACTCAGATTTTCTCATCTCTTTGTTATGCATTTATAAATGTACACCATAGTTAATGCAAACCCTTTTCCAAGGTTCATCTATGCATCCTTTTGCATTTCATATCACAAAATACAATCATACTTAAGCTACCCGGCGATTCAGTAAATTGAATGTAAGCTTAGAAACATATTGGAGGCGATAATTTCGAATGGTGTGTTTCACAGTGAAATCAAATTTAATTGCATGGAGGATTTCATCATGAGCTGACATCAGTTAGAGAACCACTGTATAACCTGAGAGTACTGGACAGCTGTTTGGTCCGTCCTAGTTTGGGACTCTTCATCAGTACTCACCCACCACAGGGGGTCGAACCCAGGACCTTCTGGTTACAAGGTGAGCTCGTAGACCTTTGAGACACTGGGACCCTATCCAATGGTCCTTGAATTCTAACTAGTTAGACCATTTCGCAATGTCTTCTTCGGGTACTTCCCAAGTACCATCAGCCCCAACGGGTTGATCACCGACGAAATCTCAGCTCGAATACAGAGGGATAGTTTCGCATATGCCAGTTTATGCCGTCTCTGGCGTAGACGCAATATCCGACTATCGACCAAAGGGCTTGTGTACTGCTCAACAGTCCTCTCCGTCCTCCTTTATGGCTGTGAGACCTGGACATTGAGAGCAGAAGACATGAAAAGATTAGCTGTCTTCGATCATAGGTGTCTGCGTTCTATCTCCCGTGTGAAGTAGTATAATAAGGTGAGCAATATTGAGGTTAGGCACGGGACGAGTACTAGGTAAGGAGGGGAAATCAATAGACGAGACTGTGAAATTACATCGACTGAGATGGTTAGGACATGTGCTACGTATGTCTAGTCATCGCCTTCCTCGACAGTGGGCAATGTTGGCTGACATAGGGTCAGGCTAGAAAAGAGCTAGTGGTGGTCAAACCAAAACATGGCTTCATCAGTCAATGAGATCCACAAATGTTAGTTTAAGCCAGATGGAAAGGTGTAGAATGCTGTCTGGTTAGAGTCCTCGGGACGGTAAAAACCAATTGAGTTAGAGACAGTTGGTGATATGGCTCAAAATCGTTCTCGATGGCTGGCGCAGATGCATCCACTCCTTGTGACTCATGATTTCCAATGAAACTATATTGTTCTTCGTTATTACTATTCCTTTGTCTCACACCTCTGTTTACTGTCTATATTATGCATTCCTCCTACTTTCTTCTCTTGCTTTGTGTGCTACAAGGAGGGAGTGTGGCAACTTGAACTGCCGCACATATGTGCAAGTTCTATGTGGAAAACCGACCTACCGACCGACCGGTGGTAAGTATGCCTATGTTCCAGAATCTGTCGAAGGGAGTGCAAACTTTCTCGAAAAACTATTCTTTAGAAAATGACTTCTGTTTAGTTTTTTGTATTTTCGGAAGCAAGAAAACTACAGGCACAGATTTTCACTCTCGAATATATACATACATTTATGTATCATTTTCGCAACTTCTATTTTGTAGATAATAGATTTTCTACAAAAGTATAGGTGCCTAAAAGTGTATTGATCTTGTAACAGCAAGTATGTTTTCCAATTCATAATGATAATATTAGTAATAACAATTATTTTAATTATAATAGTATTAACGCTCTGAAGTACTTCAAAGTGCAAAAGTGCAATATATATGTATATAATATTTTTTGGCATGGAAACTAGCCTGAACTGTGTGTGTGAGTGTGAGAGTGTGTTTGCGCGCTTGCGTGATTCTGTTTGTGAATAACTTCCATGTTTCTTGTATATGCAACAGTATTTATGTGTGTATAGGGATGGTGGACCTGCTGTTTGCCTATGCTGCTGCTATATACACTCCAAACTCTGTACAAACATGTTTTTTTCACTAGTCGAGTGCACCATTGAATAAAGACCATTACTACTGAATTGCATAGATAAACATATTGGATAAGTAGTAAGTGCTGCAGAAGTTAGTAAGCTAGTAAGTAAGTAAGTAAGTGGGCATATTTGGTAAGTCAATACCTAGAGATAAACATAACAACATAACTGTGTTTTCGCCCCATCTTCAAGCAATTACAGTGATTATTGCACACTACTGTGAATGTCAAAATCACAAGCACACACACACACCTTCATACCTACATATCTACACACTAACGTACATACCACTTTCAATTACATTGCAGTTTTGTGTGTTTTCACTGAAGATATGGTTAAAAAACAGGCCAACAAATGTGATCGACCCTTAGCAATGGATGATGGTGTCATGTGATTAATTCTACGATGGTTAGTAGATGATTTGCATACGAATGAGATAGATAGAGAGAGATAAATTATTGGGATTAATTAAATTCCATAGTTGTGTTTTTTGCTTTCATTTTTTGTGCTAAGATTTTCCTCTAACAAAAACAGATAATTAGTGCATAACTCTGAGGATTAGGGGTGATAGTTGTTGTAGTAGTAGTGGAAGTAAGGCGTCCGTATTTCTCTTTGGTCATGCATTTTCCTCTGTCTGTGTGTGTATGACAGGTGGAGAGGAAGGGCGGTGAGGGGAGGATGACTATGTACACATATATATTTGCCCTCTTGCTTAGATGATAATCTACTTAACCATTCAAATTCAATAATGGCAACATACTGTGACGAGGTAATCTAGTCTATAAGTGAAGTAAAATATTAGTTTGTATTTAATTGGTGGATAGTGACTAACAGTGGAATCCAGGATAACGCGCATTTCGTCCTATTTGGGACTCGTCAGCTAACTGGATGTTCCTGCATTTTTCAGTGAGTGATGATGTTCCCACCGAGGCTCGAACCCAGTGCCCATAGTTTCAAACGCCAAAGCGTTATCCACTAGACGCCACTTGGGCCACGAGAGCCACTGCCTCTTGTGCAACGGGTCATATTAATTAATTATTTAATTGAATTTTAGATTTTCCCGTCGATTGATTTGTTGTTTCCTTTCAGAGGATTAGGCTTTACTATTTCAACACATTTGCATGCACACACACACATACAGTATACGCATAGTCTGAAAACAAAGTGTTGGGTATGGAAATTCTATTCTCTTTTCTGCGTTGTTCTATAGTAAAACAGGGTAAATGAATAATGAAACCTATACAAAATCATACAGTCTGGCTAATGATCGGTTACAGGTCAGAGAGTTATTGAAAAACTAGGAGGTATTAGACATCTGTTTTCATCCTAGTTTGATACTCTTCATCAGTATGCACCCGCTGCGGTGCAAAACCAGATTTTTTTAGTTACAAGGTGATCTCGTAGAGTTATTCAGGCAGTTGGACCCAATCTAATCAATGGCCTTGCAATTCCAACTCGCGCCAATTTATGATATCTATAGAACAACTGGCAGTCGTTTTCATAGACGAGTAACGGTTCTCTTCTATGACCTGATTTTTTAATGATTCTGTAATTGACATCAACCCGTCATCAACACTGTAACCAATTGAATCCTTGCAAACCTATACCTGAGTGGTTTTATAAAGGAGGTTATCTGGAGTACTAGTGAGAAGTCGTGACCAGCGGCGTCCAACAAGTCAAGTAAGAGAACAGTTACTCATTGATGACAATGGCTGTCGGTCGTGCTATATCTCGCAAATCAACAGAAGCTGGACATCGACCATTGTATCTGGTTTCAATAGCTGAATGGTCTAATGCATAGCCTTGTAATGGGAAGATTCTAAGTTCGAAACTCATTGAGCGCAAGTTGCTGAAGAGTCCCGAACTAGGGCGAAACGGCATACCAGTGAAAGCAATAGGTTCGAATGTTCTACAAATCAAGCTCAGATAAGCAATCGAGTATGAAATTAACCCCCTGAAGGATATTTTATCTAAAAATGGATATCCTGAGGTGTTTGTCAATAAATATTCTAAAGAGATAAGAGCCAATAAAATTATTCAAACCATTTCAAAGAAGACTGTGTTAATCTGTGTGCCACTTAAAGAAGATGACGCGCAATAAGTGGTTAAAGCTGTTGGAAGAACTTATTGTTCTGTAAAGCCTGTATTCCTTTTAACCGCCATCAAGCAGGCGTCTCAACAATCTGGGGAAGACCGGTTTCCAATCCTCAACACTTCTAACTGAGTATATCAGTTTGAGTGTGTTTGTGCAGGTGAATACATCGATGGTATGAAAAGACCTTTCTCTACTTGCATGACGGAGAATTTACCCAAGTGGTTGAAGAAAGATTAAGTTAAAGTATCAAAATGTTTCATCACAAAGCGTTTTATCAGTTATATATCCACCCAGTGAATATATCACAATATTTAGGGTGTTCAGGTGTGGAGTTGTACCGAAATTTGATGAATTCATTGAACTCTGATTTAGATTGAAAGTGATATGCAAATCTTGAACGCCGCAAGATTCCAAATAGTGGCCTGGGAATGACAAATCACGTAATTGGTCAAATTCGGGATACGCTATGTCAATGAATATCTTTACAAATTCTTCGAACTATATACAATGGAAGCAAATCATTTTTTACAAGCTTTTGATTTGCATTCAGAAGCAACACGAACATTTTTCGATGATACTAATTATTTTAAAGTTTCCAGGAATTACAGATATCTAGTTGACTATGGATACAAAAGCATCCATCCCAACAGTCTTTCATCAGCTGATATTCTTCAATGAATTGCACATTATTGAAGAGAGAGGTAATATTCAGAGATATTATTCTCTATTTTTACGAGTTTCACCACAGATTGATATCATTTAGCGAACCATTGAAAACCAACCAGGGAGTACTGCCAGACAGCTCTTTCATCCTAGTTTAGGAATCATCAGCAGTACGCACACACGAATAATGTTCAAACCCAGGACCTTTCGGTTACAAGGCAAGCTGGCTCATATACCATTCAGCCACTGGGACCCGATTCAATGACCATCCCATGAATTCTGACTTCTACCAATTCGTTATTTAGCTGCCTGGCAGTACTCCCTGTTTTTCAATGGTTCTCTACTGATATCAATCCCTGGTCAAACTAGTAAAAACAAATTTAATTCTTGCAAAACAACTCTTGAACATATCATTCCCTTACCGGGTGTGTTGATATCTCTGCAAGTTATTTAGCAGTAGCATGATTAATTGTTGGTGTCCGAGATTGGATTCAGTGGTATGTCCTATTTGTTCATCTTTAAGGGATCATATATGTGGAGAATTACAGAACTTGAGGGTCGTAGGTGCTTAAGCAATTCAGAGATAATGGCCAGTTCACTCTTGATTCTCCTCAGGGTTTGTGTTAACTTCTGTTTAATTTCCAATGTCTACCCTGAGGTTCTATAGTTCTCCATTTAAGTGCACAAGGAGGACATACTACTGCGCACAATCTTTGAGATAATATTCGTGAGTAAGTAGGATATAAATTATCATATATCATTCCCAAATTCCTATCATTTATTGCCTAATCAAGAAATGCCTACTGAAATCCTAAAAGAATTGTTATTAAGGTGTACCATGAATGTAAATTTCAAATTTGACGGCACGCTTTACAGTCAAGTGGACGGGCTGGCAATGGGCACCCCATTGGGTCCCATTTTGGCTGATTTCTTTCTAAGTTAACTGGAAAATGGACCTATGAACAACCTTATCAGAAAGTTCTCATTTTATTGTCGGTATATGTATGATACCTTCATTCTTTGCGATAATTGATTTGGATAGGAGTACAATAATTACTGAATTTAATGAAGTACATTCTGCCATGAAATTCACGTGAGAAGAGGAATCCCGAAACAGAATTGCCTTCCTAGATGTCCTCATTACAAGAAAACTAGGTGGTAATTATAAAAAGAAATTTGCAGAGAAAAAGTACTTGGACATGACAATATACACATTTTCACAGCTTCGTTCCTCTCCAGTACAAAAGAAATTTAGTGAAGACCCTCAGCCACAGAGTTAGAGCTATGTGCTCAGAAGAAGTAATTGAAGATGAATTAAGCATTGTGTGTGATACCTTGATTGAAAATATCAATCACGACGAATTTAGCAAGAACCATATGACAAAGAAATCGGAAAAGGACTACTCACTATCCCGTAAACAAGAAGCCACTTCACATACGACTGCAATTCAATGGCGATAAACCAAGTGAAATAATTACGAAGAAATTAAGAAAATCAGTTCAAAGAACTTTTAATTCTGGCAAACTACACGTCTGATTCTCTACACGACCGATGGTGATTCCTAGACTGAACGATGAAGTACCTAGACTAGCCACTTCAAATTGTATCTACTACGGGGTGCCGCCGACAATTATACATCTCATCCAACAGTTGTATGACAACGCTGCATGCCAAGTAATCCACAACGGGAAGCTCACGGAATCCTTCGAAGTGAAGACAGTGGTAAGACAGGGTTGCCTACTATCGCCAATGATTTTCCTGATTGCAGTAGATTGGATAATGCGACAAACAGAGGGCAGTGAGGAAACAGGCATAAAATGGACTCACACAAAGAACTTGGAGGATCTGGACTTCGCCGATGATATATGCCTAATTTCCCACAAACTGGAAGATATGCAAGTGAAAAGTAACAAGTTGGCAGAAGAAGCATCAAAGATAGGACTCCAGGTGAACATAGAGAAAACGGAGGTGATGAAGATCCCTGGCCAACACCAACAGCAACAACAACAGACAGCAATCAGCATAAATGGAAGGAACCTGAAAGAAACTACCTCCTTTACCTACTTGGGAAGCATTGTTTCAACTACAGGCGGAACTGACGAGGATATCAAAGCAAGGATCGGGAAAGCAAGGCAAGCTTTCATTACTCTCAAGTCTGTGTGGAGGTCAACAGTATTCAGCGTCAAAAATAAGATCGGGATTTTCAACTCCAATGTGAAGTCAGTACTACTATACGGATCAGAGACTTGGCGTGTCACAAAGAGCACCTCAAACAAGCTACAGACCTTCATTAACAGATGTCTTCGCTCAATACTCAAGATCAGATGGCCGGAAAGGATCAGCAACAAAGATCTCTGGGAGCGAACCAACCAGGAACCGATTGTGAAACAAATAGGCAGGAAGAAATGGAGATGGATTGGACACACTCTGAGGAAACCAGCAAGTGACATCACTAGACAAGCCATTGCTCGAGTGGAACCCGAAAGGGAAGCGACGAGTTGGTCGTCCAAGGGTGACCTGGAGGAGATCATGTGAAGAGGAGATGAAAGCATGTGGGCAGACCTGGAGCCAGGTGAAAACTCTAGCAGAGAACAGAACGCAATGGAGACGCATGGCTGAAGCCCTATGTTCCTCTAGGAACTAAAGGAAATAATAATAATTGTATCTACCAATTCAGCTGCGCTTGTACAGCGAGTTATATCGGCTGTTGTTGCTATATGCACTTGATTTTTCGTGCTCGAGAAGATCTTTCACTATGGCTAAGTAAAGATTTAATAAAAACCACCATCAACAGTTCGATATTAGACCACCTGGTCCAAACCGGCCACAAAACCACCATGGAAGAATCGTCCTCTATCATCTACCGGGTACCAGATAAATCGCCAAAAACATCCAGGAACCGCATGCTCCCAATAGTAGGGCCTATCGCAATTCGCAAGTCCAGCCACTACTACTGCCCTGGCCGGCCTTCAGTAGAGATTATAAATTCATGAATTTGTAATATTATCTTTCCTAATTTTTCTGACATTCAGCTTATTTTATGTTGATGCTATTCAGCTGTAATCTACCAATATTATTGATTCGATGTTATTTAAACAACATTTATGTTGTTCATAACAGTAATTCATTCATTCACTATAATGTATACATAACTGTAGAACCTAATGAAGAAGGGGTTATCGAAAAGAGTATTCTTTGTTTAGTGTCCATTCTTTTGAAAAATTGTAATGGCCATTTTTAATCAGTTAAAATCTACATGTAATAAACCACTTTATTTAAAACTGATGTCAACTTACATTAACTAAAGTGGTCAGTGCACTGACATATTCCTTTTCGACATGAATTAATTCCTTCACTGTATGACGTCTTCTTGACTAGAAGATTGTGAAAAGCAGATAAGAGAACATGAGTAAATTAGGTGAAATTATAAAAAATATTAATTCACATGATATACATATCATCTGCAAATGACAGTGTTCCCAATACATTACCAGTTTGTCCAAATAGCTAGCCACAAATAGATTGGTTCGAGGTGTTCCTGCTCTTTATGTTGCGTCTGACCGAATACATTGCGCTTGCGTGGCTGGCCTCAAGCGACTGGAAATGCCTTTCGATGTTTATGCAAAGATTCAATCTGACTAGCAAACACTTCTGTTTGATTTGATTGACTCCTGGGTATTTATATTGATCAACCGTGTGCAATAATTTGTCATTTCACTTACGTAATTACTTCATTCTTGAGGAAAACTGAACTAAAGATATATTATCTAACTTCAGGTGAATGTATTTATGATGGATATATATGTAACACTTGCGTCTTATGAATCTCAAACGACTTAGTTTTGAATTATTGGTAGGTTTTTGAAGCGAGAATTAATTTATTCAAGATTTAGGGTCGTTGTTTTAGTTATTTTGAAAATTCTGTGAAGAAAGTATTTGAATGTTTGCATTCCTAGTAGCAAACAGCAGCTTAGCGTCGTAACCCATCGTCAATGAACTTGATTCTCTACGGTCATTTCCAACTGACTCAAAGGCTTCCTGTAAGCTTTCATTTCCTCTTCACAAGATCTCCTATATATCACTTTCAGACGATCAGCCCATTGCTTTCCATTTTTGTTCAACTTGATGGCGGCCTGGGGAGTGATACTACTCCTCAACATATGAAAATACATCTCCGTTTCCTTCTGCATTTTGTTTGGGTAATTGTTCCTTGACTGTGCCGCTGTCGTGCCACCTGTAGTTGAAACCATGCTGCGAAAGAAGTGATTTACTTCAAATTTCTCCAACTGACGGTGATTAGTACTTGTTGTTGTTTCTGGCTGGGTTTTGCCATCGCATCGGTCTTCTCGGTGTTCATCTGAAATCCTCTCTTCACTGCGTTTCCTGTCAGCTTAATTCTTTTCCCTCAAATGTGTATAAACCATAATTCCACTCTACAATAATTATAAAGGGAATAAGACGAAGGAGAACAGAAGTAATATACACTAAAGAAAACCTTTGCCATTGTTACATAAGTTGTCATTATCTCTTCGAAGGTACCACATAATATACTACTGAAATGTGGTTTTAAGTAGCGTACATCTTAGTATTTCCTTCAAATTATACGCATGACTTTCACAGTGAAATGTTGAACACTGAAATTCGTAATTTCACATTAGCACACATTTTAAGACCTTCAGAAATATTATTGTTGTAATATTGTAAATTTAATGCAAATGAAGAGCCTACCTTCGCTCGTTATCGGAGATCATATTGTGGTGACAGCTGTTTGCTAGCCAAAATTGCAGACAACAATTTGCGTCGTGAGAAAAAACAATAACAAAGCCTAACCTTTGTGGAACTCACCAACCAATCACAGTAGACTTAACGTGTACAAATACGATTCGCAGATATATGGCTTAGCTTTCTAAGAAATGTTCACAAGCAGTACAGAATAACCTTCAGCAAGAAAACAACCAATCAGAATAGGTTGCTTCTTCGCTGACAATAATGTACATAAACGATCTGTTGCCTGGCCCTCGTCTTCTGCCGTTACAAAATGACCATAAAAGTTTGGTAACAAGGAACTCTGACAACGAACTAACCAAGAACTTACAGCCAAATAAATATAAAGAAAGAAATGGAGATATATTAGACACACGTTGAAGAAATATTTGAATGTTATCACCCAGTAGATTCTTGGGTAGAAGATGAATGGGAAACGATGAATCTGGCGTTCGAACCTGACGTATAGGAGATCAAATGAAGAGCAGCCAGATAAAAAGGACTGGTTATAACAGGATAAAACGTAGGTGTGCTGTTGTAGCCCTATGTTCCACTCGGAACCTGAGGGATCGATACTATAATAGTAATGTGACTTGAATGTATACGGCCTTTATGTTTTGTTGTATTTGCTAATAATAATCATAGTGAGAACCTAACTCTTTATGAAGAATATGATGGATATTCTTCTATCTGACAGCAACTAAATTCATACAAATTTATGAAACAAACTGTTCACATGTGTAGAGCAGGTTTAGCGAAGAGAAGAAGAAATCCGCCGAATTCAACAAAATGAAACTAAATACAATCAGAGTCCTTCAAGAAATGAAACCCAAAATTGGATATCCTCTCTGGTTTAAACTAAAACCAAAGTCTTATGTACCTTCAAGATTCTACGGTCAACCAAAGGTACATAAACCCACAGTACCATTGAGACCAGTAATAGATTTCACCAACTCACCGACATACAACCTATCTAAATAGTTACTCTCGATACTACAACCACTACAAAAGGACACTCAAAATATTGTGAGAAATTCATATGATTTCAAATCTCAAATAGAACACCGAGAAATTGATAAAGAAGACATTATGGTAAGCTATGATATTAACTCATTATATACTAGTATCCCTATTACCGAAAGTCTTGATATCATTTCCAGTCTTCTAGAATCAGATACAACGCTATCACAAAGATGTACACCAGTCAAATAATTAAGAGCTTAAAATTCTGTCTAGAAAATAATTATTTTACATTTAAAGGGAGTTTATATAGACAGACAAATGGTGTTGCTATGGGTTCACCAGTTTCTCCAATAGTCGCTAACCTTTTCATAAAAACATTCAAAGATAACATCTTTTCAAGCATACTCACTCCTAAAATATGGTTAAGATATGTAGATGATACTTTTGTACTCCTAAAACGAGATCTACACAATTCATTCCTGGAGAAAATAAACTGTGTATCTCCCAGAATCCAATTCACTTCAGAAGCAGAATCAGACGTCGGTGAACTACCATTTCTAGACTGCCTAGTTAAGAGAAGGGAGAACGGACATTTTAGCATATCCATATTCAGGAAGAAAACCCACTCAAATAAATATTAAGACTTAAAGTCATCACTCCCCATCAGCGCAAAAGTATCAGTTGTTTCAAGTCTTCTTAGAGGAGCGCACTGCCTGATAATAGATGAGAAAGAAAAAGAAGAAGAAATATCAAACATTACTGAATTTCTCAAGCAAAACAACTACCAAAGGAACTTCATCAACAAAATCAACACAGACATTAAGTATGGCCAAAAACGCATTCCGAAAGCATGGACCTCAACAGTCATCATTTCATATAGAGCACATACGTCAGACGATATCAGAAGAGTACTCAATCAGCTTGACATTAGAGTTTTCTTCAAAACATCAAAACACACTACGAAACAACCTTGTCCGTATAAAAGATCAGATCCCTGAAGATTCTCTATCTAATTGTGTCTATAAAATAAAATGCTTGGAATGTGATGCGGTATACATCGGACAAACATCACCAGCGAGAAATCTAAATCAGAAGAAATGAACACCGGAGAGCATCTCTTCGACCACCAAGAAATCCAGTTGAACTGGAAAAACTTGAAAATTCATCAGCTATAGGTCTACATGCTATAGAATCAGGCCACAAATCTGATTTTGACAATATTGAAATTATCATCCAGAAAAAGTATTTTAGAAATCACAAAGAACGTTTAGTATCAGAAGCCAGCACTTCATATCAAGTGGAATCCAAATTGTCTGAATAGGGATGACGGACTAAATCAGAATCTGACCTGGTTACAACACTCCCGGTCTGTCTCATAAAATGTCAAAATCAACACGAATGTGATAAGCAATTTCATTATGTAAACGCACACTACTTTTATAATTTTACACACTGATCAAATCCAACAATCTACACCTGGTTTTGTTATCTTTATCAATTGACCAACTTGACAACGAAAAATCACCCCAGACTGACAAACGATGATCAAGTTAGTAAACTTTGTTTTGATATCATAACAGATGTACTATTACCTTTGTTATTTGGTTTAGTGATCTTCATTGTTATTTTGACTTTCAATATGTCCATTTAACTTGACCTAAGTTTATTTTCTCACCTCTTGACTCTTTGTTATATATTTGCTGAGATTTTGTAAATTCTGGTTTAATAATACTACTCTGATAAAGCTATTAGCAGCAGCATTAAATAGCGAAATGTCAGTAAAAACAAGAGTATCGTTTTGTTTTTCATTCATTGGGAAATACAAAAACCTTTATTATAGTGAACATGTTTAGCGAAATTCAGCAATATATGTTGTGTCCATATAGAATTTGCATTCATGTTTTAGAAAAGTAAAAAAAAATACAAACAATTTATCAGCTCACCAAAACTAATGCTGTTCTATCAGCTGCCAAATTTGATAGATTTTCAGATTGGGACTCTTTTGTATCATCAGTGTGGGGGAGTTGAGGACTTTGCAATCCACGTTTATCATTGTCAATTTCAACTTTTATTGACTTAGAAGGGGAATGTAAGGCTGTAGAATTGTTTGAATTCAACTTGTCTCCAGTAGTTTGTTCTTCTTGATCTGCTTGTGTATGCCCACTGCTACATCCTCCACCAGTTGAACTACTACCCCCAGTATCCAGTGAAGGTAATGAACTTGAAGAACCTAAAAAGATAAGAGAGAGAGAGAAAAAATTCATATTTACAAAAGTTTACCGGGGATATAGTACCTGGTATTCATTTGTAGTTTTGATTTCTATTTGTTTTCTATCCTAAATGAATTCATTAAACTCCTGTTACATGGTTAGAAGCAGTTGGCAAGAGGCCTTCAACCTAGTCTTCGAGTTTCTGTCTGTCTATATTCGGCATAGAACTTTGCACCGATGTGCGGCAGTTCAAGTTGTCACACTCCATGTAGCACACAAAGCAAGAGAAGAAAGTAGAAGAAATGCAAAATAGAGACAGTAGACGGGGAAATGAGACAAAAGGAATAGTAATAACGAAGAACAATATAGTTTCATTGGGTAGTATAAGTCAGAAGGAGTGGGTGCATCTGCGCTAGCCATTGCGAATGATTTTGAGCCAAATCACCAATTGTCTCCAGCCTCCACTGGTTTTTACCGTCCGGAGGACTCCAACCGGTCAGGCAATCTTCACCTTCCAACGTGGCTCAAACCAACCGTTTTGGATTTCATTGACTGATGCCATGTTTTGGTTTGACCGCCACTAGCTCTTTTCCAGCCTGACCCTATGTCAACTGACATTGCCCATTGTAGAGGAAGGCGATGGATAGGGATGCATGCGTAACACATGTCCTAGCCATCTCAGTCGATTTAACTTCACAGCCTCGTCTATTGATTTCATTTACTTACCTAGAACTCTAGGCCTAACCTCAATATTACTCACTTTGTGATACCACTTAACACGAAAGATAGAACGCAGGTACCTATGATCAAAGACAACTAGCCTTTTCATATCCTCTACTCTCAATGGCCAGGTCTCAGAGCCATAAAAGGGGACAGAGCGGACTGCTTAGCAGTACACACGTCCTTTGGTTGACAATCAACTGGATATCAGGTCTACGCCAGAGACGGCGTTAACTGGCATATGCGAAACGAGCCTTCCGTATCCGTGCCGAGATTTCTTTAGCGATCAACCCGCTGGTGTTGGCTGATGCAACTTCCAAAAAAATTAAGCAGTCAGCGTGCTCTACCACTTCACACCCTATTTCTAAACTAGGAATCAGTATAGTCCAGCCCTGTAACATAATGTTAAATTTGCGGGAGCGAATCGCATACCAAACATCGAGTCTTCGAGTTTGTTGCCACTCGTCAGTATGGAGTCCTTATAATTTGGAGGAACCAATCAATAAATCGTCTACAGTCCTATAGGAGGTCAATTGTGAGCCCAAATAACCCAATAGGAACGTCTCTGAGTGTAGGCCTGGGTGATACGGATTCAAATCTCAGAGATGACATGGGTTCTTTCAAGGTTGAAGATATTCCATGCTGATGAGTGTCAACAAGCACGAGACCTAGATCCAAGGTTTCCTGTAGATTGTCTGTAATCATATAACAGCGATTCAGACTACACGATGATGATTATCTGCCTAGCATGGTGGCTACATCGTAACCATGACTGGTAGCATTCATTCTGCACCAACACCGAGGACTACGGGCACAACACCAATCAAAGCGTCCATTACGGTCCCACAGGAAGTCAGTTGTGATCCCGAATAGCTCAGTGTTGACGTTTGTGACTGCAGAACTAGCTGACCCTGATTCGAATCACTTACAGAACATGATTGGACTGCGTTATTATATGGACTCCGGGAACAGGCGTTCCTAACAGTCAAAAAGTAACATTTCTCACTTGAAGAACATTATTAGACCTATACTGTATTTTCGTTCATCTACAAACAATTAGGAACTTTGGGAAATCGAACTACATGGAGGTTACTTGATGCATTCTTCTGATTAATCCGTATATCATCTGAAATGACGCGTCTTTGGGATTACAATACGCTAGACAAGATAGCCGAAAATTGTAAACGTGACTAGAGATTATCTTGTTTCCATGTACTTTGACAAATAACGTATGATTTCCTAATGAAATTCTCCAGTTGCAGATAGTGGTCAGTAACTCTGTGCTAGAAAGCTCGCCAAATACGCATGTAGTTCATGTACAACTCAAGGCCAACACAATGTCAAGCCTCACTTTGTCTACTAGTTTGTAACGAGGCTGGGGAAACAGAGAAGATTAAACATGAGGTTAACAGCTCCGCTCCTTGAAAAACAACACCATATCTAGTCTAACTTCATAGCTTGAAGCCTTATGTCATACTTGGAACTTGGAAGTAATGGGAGAAAACTTTCCTGCAGAACATTTACGCTAAATTGAATATTCCCATAATTTATTCAGAACAAAATATTTAGACCGAAAACAATTGTTTTCAATAAATTCTTCTTCAAGCTCTACAATTATAAATCCATTAATTTAAGTATACAATAGCCAGACAGTAAAGGCAAATTAGAATCATATCATAAAGTGTATTGTGGAACAAATATAAGATGGGATGGAACAATAGTCAGATAGTTTTTTAATATGCATGGTCAATGAGAACATGGGACAAAATGAGATGAAGTAATTTAATTTAATGATGTGTGTATATATTATACATAAATATAGTCAACAGAAAATACAGGTTTCGAGAGTGAGTGTAACCAGGGTGTGTGAGACAATATGAAAATAAACCAACGAATGGGGCGGTCTAGACATAAGTTCAAGGTTGAAAATAACGACAATAAGAATGATTGTAAAATAATAACGATGACATGGTGTAAAATTACAAGCACTATTGGTGAATGATTGTCAAATAATAATAATGAATATAATGAAGTGGAATGAACAGGATTTTGATAATACGATAACAAGTTAGAAAAGCACTACTTAAACCTAAGGTAATAAAATCATAAGAAAGGTCATGAAATCATAAAAGTCGAAAATGAACGATTGTAAATGAAACAGAGGAATAGAAGAAGAAGAAAAGAAAATTGTGAAAGGAATTTATAGTGTTAATGGAAGATTTGTTGGCTTTATTGTAGGCCAAGGTAAACATAGTGGTTGACCATACTTCTTCTGTATGCAAAGAGATGGTCTTCTGGTATTAATTGCCACCGCTTCAGCTACTGATAGAAGACGCAGTCGAGCTCCTCTGGATAAATTACTAGGAACGCGGTAAATAACTGAGAACGCCTGGTCAAGTTTTACCGGGTGTCCAGTATCTACCAAGTGGGCTAAGACTGCACTATTTACACACTTGTTTACTCCTTTACTCAAACATGCAGGTACATGTTCACGTGCGCGCATGGATAAAGCCCTCTGAGTACGGCCAACGTAACTAGCTCCACATATGCAGTTGAATTCATAGATGCACATTGATGAGGCCATCTTTGGTAATTTATCCTTTACTTGCTGTTTGAGTACTGGTTTAGTTGGGAAGTTGAGTAGCAGTTTAGCTGCAGGAAATGTTCTATCTACTGCTCTATTAAGTCGACATTTTAGAATGTCAGCTGCAATTTCCCCTTTGTAACTTAACTTAAGATACAAAGGTTTCTTGTCTACGGTATCCACCTCTACCCTGTCTGTAGGTATTGACATATACTTTTTCAGGAAGCTCTGTGGATATCCATTCTTTTGCAGAGTGAGTTTCAGTTGATGTATTTCTTCCTTAATGCATTCCTCTGAGCATATGCGTTTTATTCTATAGCTAAGACACTTAACTAAGTTTCTTTTGTAGTGAATCGGTGTGAAGCTATGGAAATGGGTGTACTGACCCGTCCAAGTTTTCTTTCGAAATAGTTTCCTTTGTAGATATCCGTATGTCTTCATGGTAAGAAGGACGTCTAGGAAAGGTAAACGGTTATTGTCTTCTTCTTCACATGTAAACTGAATAGCTGGGTGAACACTATTAACAGCATTCAGAAGCTCTTGTTTATTAAGATTTCTATCACAAACGATAAAGGTATCATCTACGTATCGACAATAATAATCAAGTCCTTTAATCTAAACTATGTCATACCTTTAATTAAGTGTGCAAAAGGTTTTAAGCGTATGTTATAAGATATATTCACACTTCATCCTCGCGTATTAACAACATTAAAATAAAAATCAATATATTTAGCAATTACTGTTCCAGGAAAATTTCTCCACAGTAAATCATAAATAACATGCCGCATATTAAGATTTATGTGTATGTAAAGTAATAATAATAATAATTTTGAAACATCTTTGTGTGTGTGTGTGTGCACGCACGCACGTCTGTATGTTCCTGTTTTATTTCTGTATTAACGCATTGACTATGCACAATATTCATAGCATCAACAGTAATTGAAATTTAGTCAAATATAATTAATCCAAGTTGTTTATATTACAAAAGTTTATTTTTATTACTTTGTGGTCGATTCTATCTGATTTTAATCTCAGTATGTTACTGTTTAAAGGAGTTCATAAACACCTCAACCATTGCTGTATAGAAAAGGTCAAAATAGTAACTCTGCCAAGTCCGTTATTATTATTATTATTATTACTATAGGGCTTCAGCCGAAAGTCTCTATTGCGTTCGGTTCTCTGCCAAACTTTTCACCTGACTCCACCTCTGCCCACATGCTTTCATCATCTCCTCTTCAAATGACCTTCTCCATGTCAACCTCACTCTGACGACCAACCAGCTGCTTCCAGTTGGGTTCCACTCGAGCGATGGCCTGGCATGTGACGCCACTCACTTGATGGTTTGATTTCTCAGAGTATGGCCAATCCACCTAAATCGATTTCTTCCTGCATATTTGTTGCACATTTGGTTCCTGTTGGGTTGGTTCGCCCATTGCCAGAGATCCCTATTGCTGATCTTTTCTGGCCATCTGGAGTCCATGATTAGAAAACCTTTAAATTCTTGAAAAAATAATTTTCTCTTGTAGATTTCATCTTAATTAGTTGAAAAAATTCACTTTATTTTATCTTACAACGTAGCAGTTTAGCATCTTTTACTAGCTAAAGGGACGTTTGCACAAGGGGAAAAAGCCCTAATGTTACTTATGCTTATGGGGTACAAAAAAGATAACTTCATTTCCTTGTGAAACCGGGGAGAATAGTGCAGCGATGATAAAT